CAATTTGGTGGGAGAAGGTCAGTTGTGGAAGATGGCACCCTGGCATCTGCCTGGATTGCTGAGTATGTCTCTCTTCCCTATGCTGGGTTATTATAGGGAGCGGACTGTGGGTGGCCCAACCCCCCATTTGCTAGAGGCTGCTTAGTTATTTACAAAGCAGTAGAAAAGACACAGACAATTTACAGAGGGGAGGGAGCTGTGTCCTATGTACGCAGGAAAAAAGGATTTTGCGGCGAGTACAAATTCATCCTATTTCTTTTTCCGGACATTGAATTACACAAGAAAAAAAGTGCAAGCACAGACTAAAGACCTGCCTATAGAAATGCTGGCCAAAAATGCATCTACAGAAGCAACAACATTAACCTTCTAAAAACAAGTTATAGTGTGCACCGCCGACCAGGTGGCCACCTTACAAACCTGCACAACAGAAGCCTGTTGACGAAAAGACCAGGACATGCTAACCTCTCAAGTGGAATGGGCTGTAACTGGAAAGGGTGGAGACTGGCCCCTGAAGGCATAGGTGTGAACAATTACCTGCCTAAACCATTGTAAAATGGTGGCCACAGAAGTCACCTCCCACTTTCGGGGACCCTTAGTGACAACAAAGGAAAAATCAGTCTATGAAAGGATTCAGTGGCAGAAAGATAAACTCGCTCTGCCCTAACCACATCCAGGCAATGTAACGCTATCTCCTTGGGATGTGTCAGACAAGGACAAAAAGGGAAGGAAGGATGATATCCTCACTGTGGTGAAACACAGACACCACCTTAGGCAGAAAAGAAGGTTGCGGTCACTGGGATTGCGGACACTGGGATGGAGGTACACACCAGGGAGTGAGAAGCCAATGGGCATTGAAAAAAGACAGCCAAAGCAGAAGCCTGACCCTTGATGGTACGAATAGCCAGCTACTGATCCAGTACTCTTTACAAGAAAGCCAAAATCCTAGCCACAGAAAGGCATGCGGAGACACACCAAGCAACTCACTCCACAAAATGTAAACCTTCAAAAAGTGCAATGATAAATATTCTGAGAGGTAGACTTATGTACCTTAAACATAGTAGGAATCACAGAGTCTGGCAACCCCCTATCCCTCAGCACCTGGCTTTCAATAGCCGCACTTTTAAAACAAGTGATGGTAAAGAAGGATGGAAAATTGGTCCTTGTGACAAAAGGTCCAGTTGAAGAGGAAGTTGCCAAAGAATGTCTGCGACCAGACATACCACGTCGGCATACCAAGGACAGCAAGCTCAATCTGGAGCCACCAGAAGAAATGGAATCCCCTTGACTTCCACGTGACGCAGAAGCCGTGCGAGTAGCTTCAGAGGGGTGAATGCATAAATCAGGTGGTACATGTTCCACGTTGCCACCAGAGTGTCCGCTCTTTCGATTAATTTTACCTTTTGGTTCAGGCGGGAAGCTAGAAGATCCATATCCAGAGTCCACCACCTCTGGCAATTTGCTTGAATACCTCTGGGTGAAGGGCCCATTCCCCTTTATCCAGACCCGGACTACTTATATAGTCTGCCTGCCAATTGTCTACACCCGGAATGTAGACCACAGACAGAGCCAGCGCATTAGTTTCCACCCAATTAAGTATATGGGACACCTCCAGCACTGCCATGGGCCGTGGCACTGTCCAACTGAACCCTGACGTGATGTCCCACGCAGGTAATCAGTTTAACGAAGGAGATGTAGGAGAGAAATATACTCAAAATTAAATCTTTGATCCAAAACGGCTGCAAGGCATAGAATATAAGGTTTGACATATACAAATATGCATATTCTCATTTCAGTCTTTGACATATGTGCTTGTTTTTATGAAACCTCTGCAAAAATCGACCTTGAAATATGGTGACAAGTTATGGAATATGTGATATTCCAGACACATTATGATCAAATCAACTTATGGTCAAAATCAAAAACATCAGATCATCAAGACTATTAAAAAGAGAAAGTGAAATTCACTTGATGTATATATAAAGTACAAGAACGTCCATCTTATAAAAAGAACTGTGTATTAATTTCAAGTGAAGACTGAACTTTTGCATAAGAGTGTTTTCACCCTCCTTTAATTTAGCCTTGTATGCTTCCAATTAACCTTCTGTATTATCTTGTAGCTCATAGCATTCCACACCAAACCCCCCTTCCCCTTCTCTCTCTGTGTATTATCCTATAAAACCTTAACCCTTTTGTGACGGGAGACGTACACTGTACGTCCCGCCACAAAGGGACCAAATGACTCGTCACGTACACTGTACGTGACGAGTTATTTGCTGCATTAGAGGGCTGGTAACCGCTGAGAATCAGCGGTTACCATTCATTAATGAAAGGGTTAACCTTTTTCAGACACCTGATACCTTAATATCGGGTGTCTGAGAGTCAAAGCAGAGCGGGCAAACATGCCGGCAAAAGCCGGCATTCTGACAGCTCGTATAGATCTAGGGATACCTCTCTCGGATCGTATACTGGCTTTTTTTTTTCTTTCACTTACAGGAATAGATACATAATGTATCTATTCCTGAAAGAAGAATGTTTCAGTTTTCTGATCGTTGTTGGAACGTTCAAGAAAACCTTTAGTGACAGCTGAATCCTGAACTGCTGCAGGATCAGTGTCACTAACTTATTATTGGCTGTTCTGAAGTTTGAAACAGCCTAATAATACCTAAAACTTTATTAATTTATCAAGCAGTAATAGTGAGATTAATTCACAATGACTGCTTGATATAATTAAATAAATAAAATAAAAATGTTAAAAGTTTAAAAAAAATAGTGAAAAGTGTAAAGAAAAAAAAAAGTGTAAAAAAATTAAAAATTAAAAGGACAAATAAATGAATGTATTTATTGCATTTTTTTTAGCTGTGCTGGTTTTGTAAAAAATACTACAAATCAAAACTGGGAATTTTTTTTTCTCCTTTTTTATATATTTTATTTGTGAGGCGTTAGACACACATATGTGATATAAATATGTAGCCCTATCTGCCCTCTAAAAAACAATATATAATATGTGTGGGTGCACTTTGTAAGAAAGTATATTACTGACGTGGAAGAATCACACAGCAAAAATGTCAAAAGTGTGTCAGTCATTTACGAACAGAAACTAAAAACAAGCTCAGTCATGAAGGGGTTAATGTTCCATAATAAATCAGACCGGCTTATAGCAGACTTTGATATGTGTGTGTTGGTCTCCAATATGGCAATATTGCATCATAATTTGGGCCCACTGATTAATGGTGATTTGCATCTGCATTCCAAATTTATTTAGCCGACAGAGACAAAGCCTAATCGCTTGCAGCTCCAGGAAATTGATCGGTAACCTGGACTCCTCTCTGGTCCAATGACTTTGTGCTGACCACTGTCTGGTCACCCCACTCCAGTTGCTCATGCTGGCTTCCATCGTCACAATATTCCAGTGTACCGGTTGAAATAAACTCCCGTTTGACAGTATTGGAGAACGGAGCTACTACACCAGAGAGGCTTTCCCCAACCAACTCACCTGTATCTGCCTGTCCAGCAACAAGGGGGACTTGTCCCTTAAGAGATAATTTTTTGCTGCAGAATCCGAGTGTGGTGTCGGGCATACGAGAACACCTCAAATGAAGAAACCATCAAACCAAGGACCTGCATGTAAGTGTATTTGTGCAATTGCCAAATACAACAGGCAAACCTGGGCACAGAGCCTCCAAGACTTTTCAGAGGGAAAAAAAAGGATCCAGAATCAAGGCCAGATACCCCAGATGAAGGGACAGCACCAAAGAAGATTTATTGGTATTCAAGACCCAGCCAAACTCCCCCAGAGTGCGCATGGTAACCACCAGATTGGCATCAAGAGCCAAACAAGACTGCACCCGGAGAAGGAGGTTGTCATGGTAGGCCACGATCTAGATCCACCGCTGTCTCAGTAAAGCAAGAGCTGGGGCCAGAAGAAAGGGCTACAAACTGAAAATGTTCCTCCCCTGCCACAAAATCCAGAAAGCTAGGATGCGCAGGACAAATTGGCACATGCAGATATGCATTCTTCATGTCAATAATTGCCAGAAAAACCCCCCCCCGGTGGAGGAAAACCACCACCGAATAGATGGACTCCATTTTGAACTTCCAAACTTTGACTAAGGCATTAAGCACCTTGAGATCCAGCAAAAAAAAGATTTGAATAGAAGCCCCTGCTTCCCCAACAATGGAACCATAACAACCACCACCAGATGAAGTAGACCCTGTACCGCCAACCACAGATCACATAGGATCACTTGCTATAGCCAGGTGGGTGCTTGAAGTGACCACAGATGGCACCGTGAAAGAACTTCAAAGTGAAATAAGACTCTAATTCCTATATTGTAATTACAGTATCCTGACCAAAGTGTTCGTTGTCTCAACAGTTGCTGGTTGCTAACTATTACTTCACTATTTTAATGATGTGCTTCTTTAAGGAGGGTTAAGACAAAGTACTAGTTCTAGGACTATATTGTCTGTATAAAATGGAAAGATGAAAGTAGTTACTCGCACTCCATCATATTAAAGTCAATGCTGTTTATTGACTGAGATAACACACATCTCCTTAGCGACGTTTCGAGACCATGTGGCCCCGTCCTCAGGCTTCCTGTTTGCCTGAGGACGGGGCCACATGGTCTCGAAACGTCACTAAGGAGATGTGTGTTATCTCAGTCAATAAACAGCATTTACTTTAATATCATGGAGTGCGAGTGACTACTTTCATCTATCTACATTTCACGGAGGCATCCATTATCACCACAGCACCCACCCAGTTGGATTTGGGTTTTTGTCCGGTCAGGAGTGCGATGGGACAGGAGGATTATGTATACAATGGAAGACTTAAAATGTTATAAAGTGATTGTACTCAGGTTTATATGTGCCTGTCTCTCACTTGTGGCACAATAATAAAAGCATATTTTGTAGGTATAAGGACTGTGGCATATGTGTGCTGTGCACAACACTAATAGGCTCAGGTTCCTTTTAGGTATGCTCATTTAAGCCCCTCTCACTGAAAAGTTTGTGGTGAAAAGATTAGAGCTTAAGCTCCGCTTGAGCAGAAAAAAAATGCTTTTAGGCAATAAAACTGCCCTCCAGCCGCCTGCTTAAATAGTAGCACTGTGTCCGCACAGTTCTGTACACACTGCCACAGCCGCGTTGCATTATGGCATGGCAATAATTTTCAGCATGTCAATATTAACAGGTGGTGCCGTCTGCCAAACACGACAATTGGAATGAATGGGACTGCGCTGAAATCATGTGGGTATGCAGTTGTGCCGAGGTATTTCAATGCCATTGAGATTTTTAAAAAAATCCTGCATTTAGAAGGCGGCAGTATCGTTTCTTAAAACCACACACATACAGCAAAAATATGTGCAGGGTACGTAATGTGAGTGAAACTGCTGTCCTGTCACTGGAAATTTGCTCGTGAAGCTGCTTGCTTCTTGAATACTAGGCTGGTGCTCCTTTTTTTTACTAAAAGTGAAAAAGTATTGAGAGTTCAAACTTCACAGGATAACAATTTCTTACAGCTAGCAAAAGCCTAGTGTGAAAATTAATTTAAATACTTTTTGCTTGCTTAAAAATCCTTCCTAGCTTCCCTTTGTAATGTTAAGCGATTGGGGAATTAATGTTTACTCTAATTAATCCTGTCCGTTTTTTGCTGACAGATCATCCGTTGTATACTAGATATCAACACTGTCTAGCCTAACAAAGGTCTTAAGGCTTGTGTTCTGCATTGTATGATAATGATGGGAATGACATGCAGTCCTGTGTATAAGCCTGCTCCAAAGAAACAGCTAGTAGAATAAGAAACATTATTTAAAAATAATTTTTAGGTGTGCTGTGTGATTGGAAACACACAAAAAACAGGATTTAACCAATCTTTATACTGACCTCTCTGTGACTGTAGTCAGCTCCAGGAAATTTAAAGTAACATGCTCTGAGGACACAAACAATTCTTACTGGAATCTTTTGTAAAAATTCTTCCATGTGGTTAATCGGTATCAAACACAACCATGATTTTATTAGTAATGGGTCCACCTGCAGCAAATATTTCTTGGCAACCATCTTTTTAAGAACATCACTGGCAATAAAAATGAGAGACTTTATGCAGTACATGTACCAATGGGAGCATAAAGTAAAATCTTTCAAAAACACTACAAAAATATTAATATAATGTAACTGATCAGACTTCATAACATCTGATTATAACATCTCTATTTGTGCTTGTGACCTCAGAAAGTAATCTCTCCAATGGCACAAAAAACTGAAATTACCAAACACAGTTGCACATTTTTCTTTAATGCAGGTATAATTTTTAACAACCATTGCCTATAAACATGAAAATTAATATATTTTGTTTAAGACATCTCATGTGTAAATCCTTCCCATGGTGCATTAAAACGTAATTTCACAATGTCAGACTTTAGTTTTAAACCAAAATAAATGAAGATATAAACGGTTAAATGTATCCTTTTCTAGAAAAATTAAAAAGTAATTTGATAAGTCAGTAAGGGCAACTAAAATGTTTTCCTTTCTTTTTTTCCTAGTTTATATGAAAAAAAAAAACCTTTATCTTTTAGTGGCCCTGTGTGTAAAATCTGAAATATGGCAATTGGGCTAAGGAAAACTAGGGACACTTTTGCATAGTAATGTATAGTAAAGGGGTATAACTAATTAAAAACGTTAAAAGCAGCCCTTCAATGGGAAATTAAAACAACTAGTATTTTAGTTTTAGTCAGTTGTTAAATAGCTTTGGATGTCAGTGCACTGATAGAAAAGGCAAATTATATATCAATGTAACATAGTTACCTTTCACGGTTTTTTACTTCATTATAAATAAGGCTTTCCAGGCCTGCCCATATATCTTCTTGCTTGTCTTCTGTTGCTTTATGGAACGTGCCTGCATTAGATGCAGCAGAAAAGTCATGAAACACAGGTAGGACCCACACCCATTCATTAATACGGTCATCTATGCATTTCTGACACAGTGCTCTCAATTGGCTATCCATCCTGCAACAAAAAACAAATAATATTAATGACTCATTCAGCCTAAAATACATCTAAATTCAAGAACAACAAAAATTATATTGCAGCTTACTGGTCATTAAATGTGATGTCTGCATTAGTTTTCTCTTTTTAATGTATATGTCAAATCAAAAACTTTAGATGGAGTGGGGAAGGATCATAACCCCTTTTTGTTTGTTACTGATACCTGGGGTTGGGATTTACCCTCACCCACTGACCACAGTTTCACAGACAGGAAGTAGTCTGCAAATGGTTCAGAGACAGGGATACAAATCTGAGAGTTATTGTTGCCCTTTCCTTTTCTACTAAAGCAGTAAAAACTTGACAAGGGATCTAAACATTCCGCACTTCATCTAAACCTAAAAAAATTGCACTCGACATACTCTATCAGACTAAGTTCATCTTCCTTAATGCAGAAACACACTTGATGATACTGCCAGAATTGTTGCATCCTTCTTGCGAACTTAACAGAAATTTCAAACAATGTTATCAGCTTTCTTAGCTATCTCTGTAAACAACAATGCAACGCCCATTTACGTAATGGAGATGAGGAAAGAGAAAGCCGTAGGCTAAAAATCCTCCTCAAAAGATGAAGTGTATGAATGAGCATTGTCACCAGAGGGCAAGAAGTGTTTTACTGGCAGCATCACTAAGGAAAAATAAAAGCCTGACAAAAAAATGCAGTCACCTCATCTACAGACTGGTGAGCTGCAAAATATAACAGTTATGTTTTTGGGTTAATAAATGCTTTAAGAAAGTAAATTGCATTTCTATCTTCCCTTGGTGTTAAATCCCCCTTGCAGCTTAATTTAACTGATAGCTAGAAAGAGAAATGCGCAGTGTTTTCAGGCATGGGACAGCATGTGGAATTTGTAGTTTACATATGGTAAATACATTGCTTGTGCTTCCAGGTCAGTTAACAGGAAGTGACATCAACAGCGAGATCAACAGGTATTTTCTTGCTAAAAATGTTTATAGCCTAACAAACGAATGCAGCCACCACAACCAAGGACAGGTAAGCTGCAAATTTTTTTGGGGGGTTACATATTCTTTAACCTTTCATGAGAACCAGTGTCTAAGGACATTTATAATAATCTGAATCTCTAATCTTCAACTGCTATAAAAGTGCACCCTTACCTCTAAGAGATAGGGGTGTGTGCTGTTATTTACTTGTATCCTCTTCCTGTGAGAGCTGAAACGTCAGTTCAGTGTCAGGTTATAAGATCCCAGTGGCAGCTTTACAATATACAACAGCAGTATAACCGTTCATAAAAGATCTACCTTCTATCAATATACAGCAATCCCTGATCTCCAATCAAGGACCTAGGCTGAATTTATGCCATTGGTTTTCTGCAGGCAGAAAAAGGCATTTCTTCAGACTGTGTTGTAATTTTTTATAAAGTCACAAGGTAACACTTTAGTAGTGGACTCATTTGTTCACATTTGTGACCACATCCAAGAACTGCACAGTGTAATACACTTACCCGGTCTTCTTCTGGGAACAGAGTCCAGCACCGCCTACTCCCAAATCAGCTCCTGCGGTGTCACTCCGCTCCTCCTCTCCAGCTGGTGCCTCAGCTTATAACCGGGAAGTTTGAAATACTCAGCATTCATGCAGAGTATTTCTACTCCCTGGATCTCACCACTGGCTATCCTAAAACAAGCCAGAATACTTGCCTCACCACTTGCCATCCTGGTTGTATAACCACCCGCCATCCTGGTTATATGACTAACATACTCAGCTCACCACTATCTATCAGTTAATCCGCTGCACCTTCCCTTGTCCACTCTAAGTGGACACTCAGATTAGCTAAAATCACACAGATCAGCTAAACGCAAGTATATAAAATCATCTAGATAAACCTGCAGACTGTTATTGTTAAATACATAATATTGAGGTTATTATTATTGCTGGGCGAAAGGTGAGATATTCATAGTTGCTAGCCTTCCATGCTTAGGCCATGTCTTCCCAGAAATAACAATTTGTTTCTCATTTGTGCGTTGCACCTGTGGACTTATAAATCTATCCATTAAGGACTTATATGTACAAGCTGGACTTTTCTGTTGCTATTTTGTAAAGAAGCTGTATGAAGGATTGCAGCCTACCAGCATATCTTATACTTTAACTGTTCTGAGTTTCGACTAATACTTGGAAAACCTGTTTCACATCACTACTGTTGGGTCTCATTCTTATCCTATTTCCTTATGAAACCCATAGTAGCAGGACAATCGGCAGCTGTGATCTGTTAAGAACTTTAGTGTCATTACACACAGACACCAGAATTTGCTTTAATGTGTCATCTCTCAATTGACATCTCCATCCAGGAGGTAAATGCTTACCCTGGATGATGCCCACAAAAATAGTGCTGTCCTTTTAGAGAAAAAAACAGGTGAAGGCATTGTTATTTTGATCTTTCTAAGAGGGAATAAATATCTCTAAATGTTACACTACTAAATGGACTCATTCACACTGGGCGATTTAGGATTCCTGTGGCAGAAACCTACAGATTCTTGCGGCAAGAATCCAAGATGTCCGGTTTAGACACTGTACCCATTCAAGTTGTGATACAATTACATGAAGTTTTGAATAGATCACTGTCCCCGGACACAGGATAAATGCGTTCAGCAACAGAGATCTCTTTCCCATGTATATCTTAAAATGTTTTAAAAGACCCACTTGTGAGGTCTAATTCAATATGTGTGTTTATCACTTTAATGAGAACAGTGCAGAACTGACTTACCCTGGAATTTTACAGAATGTAGCTTTTGCTCTATGAAGTTCGTCAATCATCTGGTCCCTGGGCATTTCAACCAAACACAAAACACTGCAAATATCTGCAATATCGGTTCTCTCAATAGCAACATTAAAATGATTTACTACGAGGACACAGACCAACCCGGCCATTAATCGGTTTTTGATGTACTTTGCTTGCAGTTTTTTTCTATCAAGGAAAGGTTCACAGATTTGACGAAGAATGTTCAAGATGAGTTTATTTACCTTGGTGTCGGGGGAAAAAAAATCACCATCAATTCTCTATAAATACAAGGATACTGTAAATAGATTATATTAAAATTGACCCTTAATGCCGATTTGGAAACATTGTGTTAAATCTGAGGTTCAGGAAAGCTACTAAATATACAGTTGAAAAATACATATATGCTGACTGTCTTACTGGATTTGTAACTATGTCTAGCCACTTTTGGAATCCACATAACTCTGTGAAACAGCATAGTCAGGAGTGTGACTCCACTATCTCTGTGTCATCGGGCTTTCATTCACATCAGATTGGTTTTGTATTCCTATGCAAGTCTATGGGATAGTAAAACCTGTTTGAAACAGGTCAAATGCACCTTTACACAGGCCCTTATGGTTATGGTATATGTAAACCCTATCAACGAACTTCTCTCATTGCCTCCCTTTTGGTCTATTAAATAAAGTATAACATTTAAAGTATTTTGTTCAAAAAGAGCAAAAATACCTGTTAATCCTGGCAGAAATTTTGTGAACTGATAACTTCCTGTGCTCTCGGTCTCTGCCTGCAGTGATTAGTAGCATTGTTTCCAGATATCACTATGCACTGCAGAACCCTCTCCCCGCATGTTATGAAGAAGAAGAGAGGTGTTCTGTAGTGATGTCCTAGTGTGGCAACACTACTGCCCTAAAGATATACATTCATATGAAAAAGTAAGTTCACCCGATGGAAATTGTTGTCTTTTTCAGCAAATTTAAATATCCCGTAGATCCTGATTTAAATTGTGCCTACAGATGATGATGATAATATAAACTTGAAAAAAATGGCATATAAAATTGTCAAGGTGTATTCATTTTCATGATTATTTAAACAAAAAAGCAGATTTGCCATATGGAAAAAATAAGTATATATATATATATATATATATTCACCTTCACTTCGAATCCATGAAATTAAAATCAGATATCAGAGATTTGTTGCGAATGATTAGATGCTGAAACCTTCATACGATTACCAGCCTTTAATAACCCTTCATTACATTTTTCTGAGTGACAATTTCTTAATCATACAACACTAAACCCAATTATTATTTTTTTTAAAGATAGGGCTTTCTTCTGGTGGTATTTAAGAACTGCTATTTTATTTTTTTACTACAAAAAGGAAAGAAAAAAGACTAAACATTTCTGCTAAAATAAAACTGTCAGAACAGTGCAAAAACCCCCAAAATGACCCTTTTTTGGGACTCCGGACACAGAAATTAGCAGGCAGAATGGCCACTCGCTGGTTTTTTCTCCAATTATGTTTTTAAACGGTGGTGGGAAAATAACAGTCCCTCAATCTGCCATTTAAAAATGGTAGAAAAGTGGTTAAATTTATATTTTTATGTTATATTTCCTATTGACATGTATGATGTCGAAGGGGAAAATAGAGCTGCCATTTTATTTATAACATATTCAGCTTCAATAAATGTTGCCTAACATCCTGCGTGTCCTTTTCATATCCTTCTGTCATCCATACTGAGAATCCGGGAATCTAGGAAAATTGGTTCCTGTCTACAAACAACCGTTCTTGAAGCATTGTGAACAACATATATGAAAGTATTGGAAAAAAGACCAGTGTATTGTTCTGTGAGAAGGTTATTGCACCAGATATGAGATAAGAGACCTGTACTGAAATGTGAGTTAAGTTCCAGAAATGGGGAAGTAGCAGATTTATCAGTGAAAATATCCATATGGCTGTTGCAATAGAACATATGCGGAAAGTGAGATCCTGCTTTTTTGTTGTTGTTTAGAGCTCTGCTTTAAACTAGCTAATGGTTGTTGTTTGTTGTGTAGAGATGTGTGAGATCCATGGCATTTATCTTGTGTTGTCTGAGTTAATTGTGATTAAGTTGAAAACAAATGCTGTATCAGGAAATGTTTTGACAGCTCTGGTTGAATATAAGTTGAAAATTGATTTGATTGTGTTTGATAATTTTTTTTAAAGTGATGAGAAGTTGGAAAGTTCAAGTAAGTTAAATTGTTACATTGTCAGTGTCCTGCTGGTCATGGCATTGTTTGAGAGCAAAGAATAGTTTGTGTATAAATTTGCTATCTTAAAACGGATGCATTATTTAGAACATTTTGAACATACTGAAATCGTGAGATAAAGTATCATGTGGGCAGGAAAAGTACCTATAATCCCTTTTGGAGTGGTTTAGCTAATACAATATTGAGAAAGAAAGCTCTCCCAAAATATTTGTTGAAGCATTAGAAGCTTCATGCAGTCCCCCAATCCCAGAACTCCTCTTATCCAGAGTTGGGTAAAGGACTATATTCGAGTCGCCACATACAAAAACAAGAACCCCTTGAGAATGTATATTAATAAGTTTAAATAAATGGGTAAAAATGGAACTTGTTTAACATTTGGGGCCTACTATACCACTATTGTTATCTGAGTTTCCCCCAGCATTCCCCTGAGGAGCAAATAATGCCCCACAGGACCCACCAGTTCCAGATGGCATGAAAATACACAGGTTTTCCTTCCCCTTTGTTTCCTGCTAGCATTTGCCAAAAAGATTTGCGGATATATTTTAGAAAAGTATTTAGGACATGACTTCTTGGAAAATTGCGTTTCTTGTAAGCAAATCATATCTGCATGGACCGCTGAAAAAACGAAAGGCTTTGTTTCTCTTGTACAGGGAATTAAATCCCTGAACATTTTTAACGTTATAAGTTTCATATATTCTGTTATTAAAAAACCTCTTTTAGGTCCTATAACTTATTGCCCCCACCCAAGTGAAAGGGTGGGAAGGGAAAGAGAAGAGGAAAGCATAAAATCCAAAACAATCCCCCAAAAAAGGGAGGAAAAAACAAAAACACACCCAAAAGACCCTTCCTTTCCTTCTACACCATACATGTCCGCAGCTAAAAATAACCTGCAGCAGATCCTTCATCCACGTCCTCCTCAAAATTCCATAGGCAGTGTGGAAGATATCTTCCATCCCCACCCACAATCCCCATGTCTTCCCCCACCACAAGAAAGAGCTCATTTTGCAATCTCCCCCCAAAAAAGGGAGAGTCCCTTTACCACTCCATCCCACTCAATATGTAATGCCCCGTGTGAACGCCCCTCTATTGTTTGCTGCCACACCCTCAAAAAAAGGGGGAAGGGGTTTATTATCTATATATTTAAGTAATTTTTGATGATAATCACTCTTTCCCAATAACACTTACAGTAACTTATTCACATAACCTCTTACCCCTCTCTTTAATATTTCAAACCCCTTCAAATATTTCTTACAGGTGTATAGAACCTGAACTAATTTTTGAGTTTATTACCCATCTTTTAAATACATTAATAAAAACAGATTTTATAGTGCAACTGGGTAAAACTCATCCGTGTTCATTATTCATATTTACCACAATTTACTTATGTCCCAATTGTAACCATCTACCACTCCTTCCATCTGTGAAATGCTACTCTTTACATACCAAAAAATAAATAAATAAATAAAAAGAAAGGAAGGAGTTTATCTCTATACCAAACATTTTTGGTGATATTCACTCTTTTCCATTAACCCTTACCATTACCTTATTCACATGGCACCCTTCTCATCTCTGGAATGGTTCAAACCCCTTCACATATTGTTTACACGTGAATAAAACCTAAACTCGTTATTGAAAATTGCTTAATTAAATATAAATAAGATATTTTACAGTGCCCCTAGGTTAATCCCATCCGTGTTTATTAATCGCATTGATCCCAATTTACTTATTTCCCAGTTTTAACCATATACCACCCCTTTCATCTGTATGTGTATGTTTAGGATGAGGCTTATTCTGCTTATGTGTTGCATTAAATTGTGGTACGTTTTCCCGTTCCACATCCATGAGCCCCAGGGACACAAATAGTTTCTCTGCTGTCTCCACCGTCGTAGGCGAATATTGCTTTCCTTTATATCAAAAAACATAATTTAAAGGGAAAACCACACCGGCATTAAATGTGGAGCTTTTGTAAAGCTGTCACAAATCTCCTACGCTTATGAATTTTTGTCAGTGCCAGATCTGCAAACAATTGGTAATTAAAGCCTTGATTGGCCAGATCTCCTTTAACCCTTGCTGTCCTTAGCATATATTCTTTAGTTTTAAAATAGTGCAGTTTTACAGTAATGTCCCATGGGGGTCCCTCTGGTTTGCGTTCTACAAGAACGCTCTACAGGACCTCCGTGGCAGTACTCTTGAATCCTATTCCACATTGAATTGAACTTCCTCAGGTTCCAAATACTGATAAGGATCAGAAAGAGCACAGACTGCAATGGTGTGAAACCATTTATTATTTATAGAACTATTAATAGATGAAAATTCACATTAAGTGTGTGCAACCCAGCAATATAATTGCATATAAGTCAGAAGGCAATCACAGCTTGTGCGGAACTATTTTCCTCTGTGGGGACTCAAATCTGCTCGTTAATCCTAAATTGGATAAATCCAGGCCTTCAAAAACCCCTCCGTCCACGGATCGCAAACACTTTCGTGATCTGTTCAGGGATACTTAGTTGGTGAATGCTTGGCGTGAGCTTCACCCATTAGCTAAAGACTCAACCTATTATTCCTCTGCTCATGCTTACTACACGTTCTTAGAACACATCTGGATTTGACACTCATTTTTACCCGAACTCCTTTCGGCTACCATCCCCTAAAACACGTGGTCAGATCATGATCCCATTAGCCTGTCTTGTCGTTCTTTACTATCTAAACCACCCACACCTTCTTGGTCCCTTAATGATTGCTTGCTTTCTCAACCCGAGGTCGTAGACCAACTTTCGTGTATCTTCGATGACTTCTTTAGCAAAAATGGGGGTTTCATGACTTCACCTGCTATCGTTTGGGAAGCTTACAAGGCAGTCATGCGTGGCCACATCATTTGAATCTCAACGTCGCAAATTGAGGGAAAAATGCAGGTTGGAACTGGAAGCAGAATTGGAATGTCTCTCTCGGTTGCATAAGGCTTCTCTGTCTCCTCAGTCCCGTGCCCGCCTTGAAAAAGCTAGAACTGAACGTAATCTTTTTTTACTGATATTGCTGAGAGGCAACTACGCTGGGTGGGGCAACATTTTACTTACACAGCAACTAACCGGCAGCTATGTTGGAAAGACTTTTTGCTGTTTTGAAACGCCTGATTTCTTTATGGACTAATGGTTCTGTCCTCACCAGTAACCCACAATTGGTTCTGGAGGAATTTAATTGCCACCTCTCACAACAGAATTTTTTTTTTAATGATTTCACCTTCCGGTCGTCTCACCAACTTAGGTGGCCCACTTTCTGTATTGCCGCAGGAGATCAGGGAGGCTTGGGGAAATACTACCTAGCCCATCAGCCTAGCCCCCGCACCATTGTCTCTGCTCCACACCACCTCGGACTTACCCCAATGGGCCCTGATTGATATTGTGCAAAGCTCACCTGTTCCTATCTACAATCTGTTTTGGACCCCTCTCGTTCTGACCTCTCTTTCAAGATCCTGTCCTACGACGTGCCCTTAATAGTGTCACCATGTCTAGCCCACACCAAACGTATGTTCTATTCATGAGAAGTCTGTATGGAATGGTTTGAATTTTGTTTGCACAGATCTTATTGCTTTCTCTGTCCCCGTTAAGAGATTTACTCTCTATTTGTCCTGATGGGAATTGTGTGTGGAACTGAAAGTGAAGGAAAATCCAAAACTTGTAGATGCCATCAGAGCAGAAATAGAGAGAAAACCTTGTAAAGGTAATAACTGTCCAAGAGGAGAATTCCCTCACTGTGGATATTTTTCCTCTCTTCCTGTTGTGTGTACTTTACAAAAAGAGAATGGAAGTCAACCCAAGGGACACAAAGTGCAAAAATAAACCCCCCAAAAAACAATTCTATACTTTATCCCAGACAAATAAGTTTTAGCTTTAGATATACCTTATTGACCCTTTAACAGTTCAATATGCCGAATGAAAAATTGTATTTCTATAGCCAACAATTATTTAATAAGGCAAGGAGCAGTGAATGAAATGTAGTAGCAAACTGCTTCGCTGCACAAACTGTTGGTGCTGTATAAATACTATGTAATAATAATAATAGTAGCACTTGCAACTAAGCTGCTTTTCTTTACCATACAAATCAATGTGAGGTCAAAGCAGCTGAGATACACTTGAAGTAATGTCTTGATCAACTAAAATGCATAGAAACTCGTAAGTAACTGCATTTGACCAATTTCTTAATGCTGATGCACATGAGCCTGAAAACAAAAACTGGATACACTGCAGCTTACCAGTCCTTGGATATGGTGGATGAATTTGTTCCCTATTTTTCAGTTTCTCCTTTATTTTCACTTAATGTTACTGCCAGTAACACATTTCCTGTACTAGAGTGACAATGGTAACCCATTGTACTGTGTCTATGTAAGATCAGGATTGTTACCACAAGCAGCTCTCCTTTTTTGAACTACAAAACTCTCATCATCTCCATTACATAGGAAGGCCTTCTTTTGTAATTCACAGAACATAACTGAGAAAACTAACATAACATCGTTCGATATATAAGTTCAGCTCACAGGAAGTGACAAGAACACTGCTTTTCTGCAACGTGGGTATTTTCTGTACTTACAAAAAATGTTCTTAGCCTGAAAAAAGAAAACGAATGCAGCCAATTGTGTGTATAGATCAGTTACCTGAAAACCTCCGAATCCAAGACTTTTCCATGTTATTACTCTGTCCCCTCCAAACAAAAGGGGCTCTCCATACACGGCACAAAACTGATTAAGCTGGATTAGGAAATTGGACATATTGATGGCATCACAGTCTGTGAGAATACTGAAAATCCTGCTGAGCATGACTTCACCAGCCATCATCTTTCCATTAAAGATATCTTTGTATTTATCCATGTGTACCATGCTCCTTAGCGTTGCTATTAACCCACGATTTTCTTTCATACACACATCATCGTACTGATGCCACTCTGAACAGAGAAAAAGAGTATAAGTCATTCAAAACTGAACATTGAGCGTGTATCTGCAAGCCTTACAATTTCAAAATTACATCTTGACATTTTTACAGTTCTCACCTTTTCCTTGAACATGATTGGACTGAATATACAGGCAACGATTCACAGTTATTTTTTCATTCACATCAGAATTATATATGAATTCAAACTCCTTTTCCCCATTTGCCCGTACAATAACATATTTGTATGGGAATTGTCTATTCAAACAATTTTTAGGAACCTGGGTTTGCCCTTCATACAGGTAACCGTGCTGCTTGAGGTCTCTGTAAAATAAAATATGGCATTTATATAAAAGAGAAACGGTGTCGTTTTAACAGGCAGGAAGGCAGAAGCAAAAGGTATACTGGAAATAAATATATCAGAAAGAAATGTGCTAAAATATGTTATTTGTTTACATAACCGAGCTTATAACTCTACATAGCTGTAACTCAAAACTTATAGCATTATTCAATAAAGAATTCTTACTCTTAAGTGCAGTAACTGCTAATGACCAATTAGAATTCACCCAGCTGAAGTCAGACAATTGAATCCAGTTATGCATTAATTAACAAATTATTAACTTACAAGATATATGGGAAAATGTTTGTGAACCCTCACGTAAGCTTGTTGGACATTGCATTCTAAAATAATGGCCAAGTCGGCTCCACCTTTTGCAGCTATTACAGTCTCCACTCTTCTGTGAAGGCTTTCGACAATTTTGGAGTGTGTCTGTGAGGTTTCTCACAAGACTGGAGGTGCACAGTTGTCTAAAATGTCTTATATGCTGTAATGTTAATAGCACCCTTTAATGGAAACACCTGAACTCAATATTTTGAGGGGTATCCACATACTTTTAGCCATATAATAGCAGGTGTGATCGCCAGGTGTCCTCAAACTTTTGGCTATATAGTGCATCTCTCTGGCCATTATGTTTACTCAAAAAAGAAACTGTGTCTGTCTGTTAGCAGACTCATGAGATTGTAGGCATTGTTTTAGGCTGACTGGCAAAGCAGAGGAGGGTTAGCAGGTGTGAAAATGATAATTGCCCTCTGCAACCTGTGTGAACATACATCTCAACAGTCCTTAGTGCCTACAGTGGCTGAACAAGGGGACAACACTGCATTAATTTTACTGCATTAGCAGCAGACTTGTCACCTTGTTCGACTAAGTGCATCAAAAGATCACTAGTCTTTTATTCTATGATTTAGGGGTTAATTGTTAACTTAAAGAAGATGTGTTAAGGTTTAGTATATGCAGAATAACTTTTATTATTTTGCTAATTGTCTAAAGTTTTACTTTAAATATGTTTTTAAATAGGGATGTTCAGATACCAAGCAACATACTCGGTACAAGTACAAGTACATGTACAGATACATTCAAAGCTCCAAGACTAGACTAGAGAAAAATTCAAAAGTTAAGAAGCAGCTGTCATTTTTAAGGAGCATACAAGGCTCCTGGGATTTGAGCATCCCTATTTTAATGTATGATGGTTTTTTTATAAACATATATAAGGGAAACACTGATACCATTTTTTTCAATTACAAGTACTAAAACGTGTCCAAGTACTCACAGATACAAGTACTGATACATTTTTGATTATTGTCATGTGACAGTTTTTCTAAAACAATGCAGACTAATGATTTCAGGACAGTGGTGGAGTGCCAGAGCTAAGTTTCAGCTGCAACCAGTGCCACACTGGTAGTTCTTGTGAAAATGCCGAGTATCGGCACTGGTATCTGAACTGGTATCTGGACATCCCTATTTTTAAATAGAACTAGCCTGGGTATCTAAACCTAAGCTGATATCAGCCTCTTATAATTTAGGCTGGGTTCACACCTGGGTGTATCAAATATGCGCGTTTGTCGCGCGTTTTGTGTCGTGCGTTTTTTCCGCGATTTGCGGTTAAAAAAACGTGCGGCAAACTTGCATTTCCGAGGGCTACCTGGCTGTATCCCAATGGATACGCGCTGCAAATACGCCCCAAAGAAGCTCTTGTACTTCATTGGGCGTAAGGAGTTTTGTAGCGCGTTCATACTGCCTGTAATACGCCCAGGTGTGAACCATACCCATAGGAAATAATGTGATTTCGGTGTTTGAGCGTTTTGCAGAGCCTAGGGACGCGCTACAAAACGCCCAGGTGTGAACCGGGCCTAAGTCAATTAGGGCTCTATTGCTCTTTACAGTGCTGTCTGAGAACATGAAAAAGGAGGGAACGAACAGAGATAAGCCAGCAGGTTGGAGCAAGAGATGAGACCTTGGAAGCAGAAGGGTGCTGAAATGTATGCAGAGAATGTCTGCAGTAAAAAGAGTAAGGTAGGACATATATGTGGGTCATTGAACTTGGAGGCACGGATCATGTTTTTTTCTTGAAGTTTAGTCTCAAAAATAGGACCATTAGCAACACCAAGGGTTTTATGGACTCTCATTGCTTGCTTTCCAAGAACATAAGCAAATGGATCTAGTGATACAAACATTCCTGTTAGATCAAATTTCAGCTGATGTGCCTACAGCCAGAAGGACAGAACCAGTGGACAAAACCAAAATACAGGGTTATGTTTCTATTTGTTCATAATTCATCCAACATCGAGGATATTTTAATAAGAACATTTCAGAGATAATGTTTGGTTTTTTTTAACATAGAAAAAACCTCCTCTATATGTGACATAAATGAGTATTGCCTCAATGAAAGAAGGAAAATGGGGAACGTGGTTAAAATCTTTAAATGCGACCTTGCAGCCCCGCCCTTTACAAAATCACCAACTGTTAGTAGGTGTAAAATGTACCTTTAAAAAAAGTGAGACTTATACTTATCTCCATTTTTCACATCCCTGTGCATGATATCACCATCCTCCCACGAAGATTCCTGGGGAATGCAAAGTAGGCAAAATCTTGCAAGAGGACTCTCTTGAAATGGGCTGGAGTATCTTCTTGTAAGATTTGGACAGATCTGTATTCTCCAGGATCTAGCTGGGAAGAAGTGTGACATCAGCCTCGCCTAGGTGCCACAGTCACAATCATTTTTTCTTCACAGGTACATTTTAAACCTAATACTATTTCACCTAATAGTGGGTAATTTGTGAAGAGGCAGTGGGGGCAGACAGTGTAAGCGAACCTTGTATTTTACTGCAAGGTCCACCTTAATGTGAATAAGGTTTAGGGCAGTATAACTGACATGAAGAACATGGGGGCATGACTTCAAAACTTGAGAGAGGAAAGTTCAAGAAGTTCATAGAAAGTAGAAAGTAGTGTTTAACCAAAACAGTAGTAGATGATTGGGACATACTTCCCAATCCACCTCACTGCAAACACTGTCCTTTCTCACGAATACACCCCCAACAAGCAGTAAACAGGAATGGAAATTTATATTATGGATGGGACTGCTTTTCATTGGATGCCTGACAATCTGCCAGCTGAAAACGTGCCTACAAACGTAGGTAAAATGCCAGAAAACGCACATAAACGCCTCTAATACCCGTGTAAGATGCGTGCACAAACATGCGTAAAATGCGCTTAATAAGTGTCACTTAGGTGTGAATTGAGCCTTAGTGAATTTAAACATGCTTGGTATAATCCTCATTGAAAACTCTCCTCTATCCTCAATAATGTTGAAAAAACAAAGGGAGTATACTTAATAGGCCACTTAGTCTTATTCTGGAGTCAGTCTAACATGTTTCTTTTATGTGCACACAATTTTTATTAGATATACAGTAATATGCAGCACCATGTATGGGTGACAGGTGACATTGTCACCCTAAGCTACAAGTCACTACACTGCACTGCATATACATGCCCATTAAATGGAGCCAAGGAGCATAGGAAATAAATACTTATTTCCTATGCCCCTTTGCAGAACGTGGTTGGGAATGAAGAGCAATGAACTGTCATAGTCTGTAACTTTGTTCTACTCCACACAGAAGCGTGGGATAAAAAGCAGCGAACACTGTGTGAGTTAGGTGACTGAGCTGTGAAAAATAACACAAGGTAAGACTTCTTTAAAGGCAGTGTATCATTATTTTTCATACATTTTTTATTATTTAATATTTATAACATTAAAGAAAAAACTTTTTTCTTTAGTTGGGTAAATACATATTCCATACAATAGTTGCTTATATATAGCTATTGGCTCAATTTCACATGTTCTGGTTCTCCTTAGCTCCTCTGTTAAAGTATCCTATGGATTACAGAGCTCAATAGCTAAAGCCCAATCGCACATAAGAAAAATAAACTGGGTAACTTACTCTGTGTAGTTCATCATGCAGATGACATCTTTCCATGGTCTATAGCCTTCAATCCCTCCACCTTTTACTATCACCTTATCCTCGTTGGTTTTCACATTAAAATGTTTGGAAACAATGACATGAAAATATAGTGTGATACAGTCCTCAGGATTAAGCTCCCTGTAAACATAAGAATTAACTGTAAGGCTAAGCTGTACACATCTCATTTTGGTGCAGATTACAATACTCTAACTCATCTGCTAGCAAATAAAACAGTAATAAAGAGACAAAAGTAGTTAGTGATGGAGTGACTCTATACAGCAGGGGTCTCAAACTCAATTGACTCGGGGGCCACTGGACAATCTTTTTACTCCCCTGGGGGCCACTTGCCAAATGTCATACTTCACACACATAGAGATACACACACATAGAAATACACACAGACGGAAATATGCACAACCCCCCACAACCAGAAATACACACACTAATGTACAGACAATAAGGCCCCATTCACACCTGTAAGCTTAGGTGTAATTAACTTGCGTTTTCCTGAAAGATGTCACCAGCACACCATATTGAAGTGAAGAATACGTCTGTTTATTGATGCTTCATGTCAAAACAAATAATGTTTTGGGGCCACGCAGGGTCCCCTTCAGCAGGCTTGAAATGACGGCATTTCAAGCCTGATGAAGAGAACCCCGTGTGGCCCCAAAACGTTATTGGTGTTTACATGAAGCGTCAATAAACAGACGTGTTCTTCACTTCAATATGATGTGCTGTTGACATCTTTAACTAGTTTCGGTATTGGCGGCAGGGATACCCTGTAAGGAGTGCAGCAGGATTCTGGAATACATATTGCTGCAGCTGAAATCCCTATTCTGGTGTTTACAAGCTGCAGCTTTCACCATTCAAGTTAATGATCAGGTGACAGCCACTGCATGTAAATGCCTGCACACCGCATGTAATGGTATGCGTTATGATTACATGTGGTTAGGAATCAATCACTATCCCTGAATGCACGATCAATGCATCCAGGGAGAATTATTCCTAAACGCATGTAATCATATCACATGCCATTACATGCGGTGTGCAGGCGTTTACATGCAGCGTCTGTCACATGATCTATAATATGATATATGTTCCCCATGTTCCCCCTGTTCCCCCACACAAATTGATATAATCCCCCACACAAAATAATATGTTCCCCCCGTTCCCCCACACATGGTGATCTAGCGGTTGATTAGTAAGGTCTGGTGCAGACCTTACTAATCCATCCTGGAATTTAGAGCGCCGACCCAAAGGAACGGAGTGCCGGCACAGCCAGCAGTAGCTATGTGGTCTGCATCTGACCGTGTAGCTGCTCACGCAAGTCAGGTACATGATCCATGACCAATTGCCTGACTTGTCAGTTGGCTAAGGGCCACATAGTACTGGTTCGCAGGTCGCAATTGGCCCGCAGGCTAGTACTTTGAGACCCCTGCTATACAGAAATAAGAGCTGAACTTTAGCAATTCTGGTACTGGTAAAGTCTTGCCAGCTAGTGAACTGCCCATTTGAAATAACCCTAAGAGAGTTCCAGCATACTGCACCTTCGAATAGCTTCTTGCTTCTCTTTGTTATCTGCCTTTTCTTTATTTGAAGTATTTCCATCTCCACTTTGCTGTTTTGAAGCATTTGTGACCTTCTGGTTAAAGAGATCAAAAACAATATTATTCATTTTATTATTATTTTATACTTTTTTGTTTTTATTAACATAATTGTTTAAACGATGGATTACTTCTAAAACACAAGGAAAAACTGGTCCAAAAAACAAACTGTGTAATACTTTAGGCCTCTAACTATAACCTATTATAAATATCAGCTAAACTTCAAAAACAGATTTTTTTTTTTAGTCTATATGCGGTCTACTTTTAGACCAGTGGGAGTTCCTGGGAGACATACTGTATAGTAGTTATGAGGTAAAAAGAGAGATTGAGCAGTAAGGCGAAGCAATTAGTTAATCTGTAAACCCAGATTACCTTTTCTTATTTGGTCTCTTTTAGTCAATTAAATATAACACATACTATATTTTGTTATATCCATTTAATAAATAAGTATACCTGTTGATACTGTCAGATGTTCAGAGCGGTCCTGTGCACACTTTCTGTGTTATCCCAAAGAGTCTATTTAGCCAACCTAGTCCTTATTTTGGACTACAGAATGATTAGTATTTATGTTGTAGAGGTTTAAGAGTGAAGTGCTTGAGTAGTTTAGCAAACAACACTGGGTGGGGCTGACACTATTTGGTCCACAACAATGCTGCTTGTTGTCAGACAGCAGTACATAGCATTTCTGGCATATTAACATGTATGATTCTGTACCTTAGGGGTCTGTAAAGGGATCAATGGTTGGCCATTAACCTTCGGAAGTTTATATCTCCCCTGAGCCTGGGAGTTTTATGGAGGAAGGTTAGATGAGGATAAAGGACTTTTAGCCACTTCTGCACAGCTCATTCCTTCTCAGTAGGCTCATCTCCTTTCCCAACTCATGGAGTTAGCAAACCACACACACATCAGCAGCAGTACATCAGTACAAAAGCCCAGCCCTGGTCTCCCAATCCTCAACAAGTGTGTGAGTAGAGAAGAGCACAGTTGGTCAACTGGCAGCTTTCTCAGGAGCAGGGGACCAGGGCTATTATCCTGCTCCTGACCTATAGGTCTCATAGCTCTACAGTTCTTATCCTGACCTTTAGGTCTAGAGCTCAATTTGCCCACTTTTAAGCTACAGGTCCTATAGAGAAACCTATCTAGTTCCCTGTCCCTGACCTACGGTTCCCATATGTCTACAGATCTTTTACCTTGTTCCTGACTTATAAGTCTCCAGGTCTATTACCCTGCTGCTGATCTCTATAAGTCTACATTATATTCACCTGCTTCTGGCCTACATGTCCTACAGCTCTACTTGTTTAGCCACCTGCTCATGACCTATAAATCCTGTTTAACTACAGGTCTATTCCTCTGCTCCTGACCAATCGTTCCTTAAAGTTTACACAAAGATTCCCAAGATTCTGATAGATATTTAGGAATGAGCTATGAACCAAATTCTAGCAGTTCACAGCTAGAAAAATCACAAACTGATGCAATCATTTCCCACCGTAGCAACTAATTACCAATCATGCACTTTCTGGCAAGATGACAGAGTGTTTTCAGGCAAAGAGAGTTACTACTATTTAGGGATGCACCGATACTAGTATCGGCATCGGTGCTGATACCGAGTATTTGGGTGAGTACTCGTACTCGATACTGGAAGATTTCTTCTGATCGGAAGTGCCGTAGGGGAACATAAAGCCAGCTTCACGTGCGATCAGGAAGCTGGGCGGCTAGTAATGACCCGCCTCCCTGCTTCCTCATTGGCCTAGAAAGCCAGCTCCATGTTGATTGGCTGGGAAGCTGGCTTTCCAGCCAATCAGCATCGAGCCGGCCAAACAGCCAGCTCCTTGCTGATTGGCTAAGAAGCCGGCTTTCCAGCCAATTTGCAAGAAGCCGGCTTCCCGGCCATTCAGGAAGCCGGGAGGCGAGTCATTACTTGCCACCCAGCTTCCTGATTGGCTGGGAAGCCAGGTCGATGCTGATTGTCTGGGAAGGCGGTTTCCTGGCCAATTACAATCAAGCTGGCCAAACAACATGGAGGCGGCTCCCAGGCAATCAGAAAATCAGCAATCAGAAAATTTACATATAACATCCAAAGGACAGCCGGAGGACACAACGGGGCTCGTGGACAAGGTAAGTGACGCACAGTGTAAACCCGAGTGTGGCTCGGGGTTAGCGCTTTTGGTACTGAAAATTCACCCCGGGCCACACTCAGGATTACCGCCAGGAAAGTTAATGTTAACCCCCCATTACTTTGTTATTCCATTGTATATGTCTTCCAGGTTGTCCAAATGTCAGAGAAAGAGATAATGATGTGTAAAAAGTGAGATATTTGTGCAAGTATGCAAGTACAGTATATGTGACACTACTTAGGTGAATTGTCAGTGAATATGAGAAACTATATGTTAAAAAAAGGAGAAACATTTAATATATGAACCAAATTTTATCTCGTGTGAGAAATAAAAAAATCATTGTATATAAAATGACTCTCCTATTGCCTCTCTCTTCACCCCTGGGAGGCAGTGCACAATATATCAGAACATAAAATGCAAAATAAACCCATTATACTCCTTTTATCCTTTTAGTAAGTGTCTTTTGTATAAAGTGATTGTGTTTCAATTTCCTTTCCCTCTTACCCTCCCCCTCCCCTTCCTCCCTCTATCTTCTCTCCTTTATAATCCAACAGATCTTGTTTAATTTAAAAAAAAAAAGTCGGTCAGCCTAATTAGGCAAGCATGTACATCAAAATATAAATAGGTAACACCATTAAAAGGGAACTATGGGGTAACTTTTTTATCCCATAGTTCTCATTAGGGTCACAGGAGGACATATACTAACCTCCTCCCGTGACCCAAAGCTCAGTATATAGCGGACTATTGGCTGCTATATGCTGAGATATGCTGAGTTATTCAACCTCAAACAAACTATCTAGAGACAGAGCCAGCTGTGCCCGCCCCCTCTCCCGTCCGTTCCTCCACTCAGCGCTGGAGGATCGGAGAGGGGGGAATCCCTGCGAGGAGTAGTGACTGATAGTCACCGCTCTCTGCAAGGAGATGATCGGGAAGTGAGTGAACGACGGTATGTGTTCACTTACTTCCCGATCAATAGAACCGACGTGTGACAGTTTCAATGTCACACGTCGGCTCTAACTATGAGGATGAGAGTAAATCACTCACCTCATAGTTCTCCTTTAAGACCGCCTAAAATATGTCTCCTGGAAAGTAAAGGGAGCTCAATCTAGGAGTACTTAGAATATTTCACTTAAGTCTTATATAAATTTTATAATAATTTAGAATAAAGAGCTAATTTCAAAACAAAAAGAATCCAATAAGGCCTGAAAAGCTTGAGGATCCTTATATAAGACCCAAACATTCCATATACTACAAAACTTCTCAGTTCCGTCACAATCTATAGCTACTAATTCCTCCATTGTCATGATACCATCTAAAGCATTCAGCCATTCCAAAACCACGCGGGCCCCAAAAAGGAAAAATCTAAGAATAGTGTTTGGCCTCTTTCAGGTCCGCTCCTCTGCTCAGTGGGCGGGCACAATAGCCAGCCTGCTATTGGCTGTTGTTCCCCGTTTTTACATACTGCTGTCGACCATGGAATCTAGCCACCGGCAGCAAGATGTAAAGAAAGAATTTAGTTAGCAACTAAATACATTTTATAATTTTTTTAGTGTGCACCAAGCAGCCAATATTTTTTAAGTGTGCATCAAGCCACCGGCACTCACACACAAAAAAAAAAAAAAAAATCAAGGACATATTGCAAGGGAATTTTATCAAAACTGGAGCAGACAAAATCTGGAGCAGTTTTCCTTGGCAACCAATCTTTCAATTCTTTCTTCAGTTTGTTCAGTTAAGATTTAAAAATGAGAGAGAAGCTGGTTGGTTGCTGTGGAAAACTGCTCCAGATTTTGTCTGCTCCAGTTTTGATAAATTCTCCTGATTATGTTTTGATTTTTTTGCCGGTTGTTTGAGAGTGCTGGTTGCACTCTCAAACAAGTGGGGAGAGTGCTAGTTGCATTTTCAAACAAGTGGGGAATTTACTGTACATAAATTACAAGACAATTCTGTATGAACTCACCTTAGTATTTTCTTTTTTTTGGGAAACTTCTTTTTCCTTTGCTTTATTTTGATTCATATTCTGGTTTTTAGATCCTTTTTCCTGTTTTTTATTTTCATCTTTCTGGATCAATGTATTAGAGGATGCTGATGGACTGTCTTTAGTACTTTCATCAGTTTCCTTTTCATTGTCATTTGTATTTTGTTGTTTTGTTGTCTGTTCAGATTCAGATCTTTTACCATTACCAGTATTTTTATTATCATTATTCGCCTTTTCAGAGCTGTTGTTATTTTCTTCAGGGACTGAAACATTTGTAGAATCATCTAGCTTTGTGTCCTTCTTTTTGTTTTTGTTGCCAGGTGATACTTTGTTACTCGTCTTTTCAGGATCAGTTCTTGGGTCTACGCCAGGAGTTGCTGCAGATGTAGCTGATTTATTTGAAATTTGATTTCTTTCATCTAAGTCAGGTGTTGTACTACTTGTGTCTTTATTTGGTTTACGTGTGTCACTTGTGTCTTTTGCACTGCTGGAGATATTTTTGGAATCTTCTTTACTCTTTACATTTTGACTATCATGCTGATTTTCAAGATAATTTTTTTCTCTGAGGTTAGATTCTCTTGTTCTGTCCATGGCACTGTCCAAAGTTTTCCTTTCATTTTGAAGAGTTGGCTCTTGACTAATTTGCATACCTCCACCCTCAGAGTTGGCTTTAGATGTATGTGATATGTCCATTTTTAGTTTTCTGACCTGGGTATCTGTTATTTTTTCATTTATAGGAACCTCTTTTCCACTCACACTCTTAACTTCAAAGTTACCAGAATTGGTCTTCATGCTTTCAGGACCTTCATTTTTTGAGGATGCTGAAAGGTTCGCACTCATGGAAATTACGGGCTCTCCGTCCTCACCTCCATGTTTCTCTTTGTCAAGTGGCCCATCTTTGATGGATATTGATACTGCATTCCCTTTACTAGAATGTTCATCATCTTTTGATTCTGTCCTAACCTCATCACTTTCAGCTGGCCTGGTAGTGTCAGCATTTTCTATTGTTTGTGCAGTGGGTTGTGTGTTTGCAGAAACAGAGGCTGCAAGGCTCTCACATTCATCTTCATTTTCATCAACTTCAACAATACTGGAGTCCTCCTGATCAGTGATAAGTGAAATTAATGACGTGGCCGAGTCACTGCCTGTGTTCTTTTTACTTTTCTTTCTGTTTCTTTTCTGCATGATAAATTAGTATTTCTTTAGTAATCATACACATTTTGAGAAAGGCAGACATAGAGCAGGACTAGACAAGTCCCAATAGGCAGGAAGCAACAAAACAGTGTAGAAAAGTTCTCTGAGAATAAATATGGTGAATGTTGCTCAAATCAACATAATCTGATCTGTTCAGATCTACTAATCTAATGATCTGTTGCTGGAGCAACATTCACCATATTTACTCCCAGAGAATTTCTGTACAAGTCATTCTGAATTGAGAAAGCTAGTTGGATGATCAGTGAAACGTCTTCAAGAAAAATACACAAGTCCAGTTGCCTTGATTTATTGTTTACAGATATATCATGGTATGGATGAATGAGAACCTTCACAGACAGCCAGGCAATTAGTGTTTTCGAAAGGTGAGTTCAAAAACTCCTACCTGCAGCTAGACTAAACTAGCTCTCTTCTAATTTTGTGAATCTATCTGTTCACCCCGACAAGGGGTCTCCAGAACAAGGGTAACTAGGGTAAATCATATCCATCATATCCTGACTGCTCCATATTCAGCAATTATCCATGTGCAAACTGGGCCATCTGACACTTTATACCCTGGCTGTGGGTCTGTGAAATGGTGCATCTATGGTAGTGGCCTAACCTGACCAGTTCAGATGTTCTGTGCCTGCAATTTCTTCATGTTGGACAACTACCTACTGTCCCCACACAAAAGCTGGGAATATTGTGAGATGCAATTTAAAATTTTGTCCGGTCAAATCTGCTATTGCAACATCTCCAGTGGTTATAATGATGATGTATGAGTATATTACAATTAATGGTAATAGATCTAAAAGAGACACTGTTACCTTGGCAATGCTGGCTGCAGAGATAAGAATGGTTAGGGAGTGCTGGTAAGAGCAGCATAAGGGGGTCAGGGGGAGGCCTTTTGCAGAGACACTGTCACTTTGCTTCTTCAAGTTAATGTATGCAACAGCACAATGAGGGTCAAGCTGTTGAAAAGTTGGTGCGTGTCAGTAGAGAGCTGCTATTTGACATTACGAAATTGTAAAAGGAATTCAGAAATCATATACATTTTTTTGATTAGAGAAAAAGGTAACTAAGCTTTTACTTTTCTTTTTTTGATCGGTGTACTGGTATCTTTCAATGACTGAGGTTCGTCTGTACTTATATTTGATTGGTTACTGGTGCCACTTGTTTTGGTAACATCTGCAATCAATTCCTTCCCAGGTTCCAACTGATTTAGAACAGCGAGTGATTGATCTCCACCTCCAAAATTAATAGTTCCATAATTAACATCTGAAAAGACATTAAAAAAAACAATTAGAAAATGTGAAATGGCCACACATTAAGAGTAAGGGTGTTTAGTTACTGCCCAGCACCATTTCCATATAGCTCTTAACTGCACAGTGACAGCAAGGTTCTACTTGGGTAAATGACTTAATGGATCTACATGGGCTTTGTATTTGTTTTCCCCACTCTATGTGAGTTTCTTTCAGATAATCTGGTTTCCTCCACAATGCAAAACACACTATGGTAAGTTAAGTATCTTTCACCCAAGCTGGGCTTGTGTCAGCATAAAAGTCACAAACACATTGGAAGGTCATACAAGAAGAGATTTGTTTTAGGCTTCTGGAAATGGGGTGGCTGTTTTGGAACTGGAATTTTATGTACAACAGATTTTGAAATGCTACATTTGGCAATAATAATTTTTACCATATGTTATATTACTTATCACACCTGGCAATAGTACTTTACCAGCCCAAAGGTGAAGGCACATGCTGCATCTACTCTGCATGAGGTATTCATTATAGAGGCATAACCTACCTTGAATTACTGAGCCAGGTATTGAGGTGAGCAGTGACAGCCCACATATACAACAGAAATTGGCTTGTTCTTCTTTCGATTCATGACCACAGCCGGAACACTTCATTTTCTATGATGTGCTTTCATAAATCTATTGCACAAGATGAAAGATCATTACCATAAAGAAACAGAAGAAAGGTATAGTTCTACCCTAAAGGAAACATGTCATAAGAAAAACATGAAGGCGGTCATTGTTGACCTCTCTAGTTTCCTATTGTGTTACCCCCCAGCTGAATAATTTGAGTTATTGAATACAAACAAATATGCAAAAAAGGACTTTTGACTTTTTCCTGATTTACATTCTTGTTTCAAGTCTCTGGCTTAGAAAGTGGCAGTGGGTCAGCAAAGCCGCCAGGAAATGAAAATGTCCACAAAGTGGTCAGAAATGGCCATATTTCTCTCATGATAGATTTAAAATACAAATCTATTAAAAGTTCAGAATGTAGAGCGAAACTAGAGTCTCAAAAATACTTGTAACCGTGCTTATTGCAAAGAATCTTAAAGCCTTATCAAACGTTCAGAGTAGAAAGACCTGTCCCCTGTCAGCATGCTTCAGAGAAGGACCTTTGCTCTCTGTGTGGAAGCATCCGTATCTCTACAAAGGTCTAACAAGCCACCTGCTGAGTCACAACTACAGCTCTCCAATCAGCAAGTAACATGAGTTATAGGTGTGACTCAGCAGGGGGCATCTTTAAAAAATCAGCCACCCAAAACCAGAATGAGTGCAATCCAAAAATGTATTAAAGTAATCCAAACAGGTTCCAAAAAGTGAATCCAAGAGAACAATGAACAGCATGTACATCACCATAGACATCTCCCACACCACGCCAATGTCCCTCACGCGTTTCACCCACTGGGCTTAATCATAGAGGTGAAGCCCTTTCGTTAACGTGCACCTTATATGTGTGAAGTGCCGCCCTGTTCCATACGATCAATAATTAATGTAGAATGTCAAATGATCTCAAGTTTTCAGCAGACCGGAAAAAACTCTTGATTGAAACTAATAATAAAAAAATTATATACACAAGTAAAGAACTACAAAATCACATTCTTCCATTAATGCGGATGCCACTGAGAACAAAAATGAGATTCAAAGTGATTGAATGGAACAGGGGGATAAGTGTAGCCACTACTGAAGGAAACCAAATAATTAAAAATCACAGAAAACATTGATTGGGAGTATTAACAGTCTCCTTCAAAAACGGAATGTGAAAATAAGTGAGCACATCACGTCTAGATACAAAATAAATTCATATAAAAGATTTCTAGCATAAAAAGATACATAGAAAGGAACATATGTATTAGAACAGTCGCAGATGAAAATGTGGGAAATGTATACAATGTATGAAAGGATACATCTATGGTAAGTAATCCAATACCAGCCGAAAATATTGCCTGGCATAAAGGAAGTGACAATTAACACAATGTTTCCAACTGCAAAATAGCGCAGTCAGCAGAAGTCTGTGACTGAGCCTTATGTTCCCTCATGTTGTCTGAGCTTTAAAAACATAAATTTTATTTAGGATAAATGAAATAAAGCTTCAAAAAAAGAGAGATTAAGAGGACTGTGTATTTATAGATCAAATATCATAATATTCAATACGGTAATACATTGGGGGGAATTTATCAAGGGAGTTGCTCCACTTTTCTTTAAGTGACAAATATTCCACGTTATTTGCACCTTATTTATCAATGCAGTCTGAGCCTTGATAATAAATGTCATTTTCATTAGACATGTTGGGGGGAATTTATCATAGCAATTGCAAGTGTTTGGACCTGCACGGAATATATTTGCACCAGATTATCCAAAGTGTAATGTTGTTGATAAATGGGGTTTAATAGACTGGCAAAAAGCTTTACTGTCGCATCATGAAGAAGTGGTCATGGGGACTTCTTAAGTTGCGATTGTTTTCTTAGGTGATGCTCCAGTTTCTTATAGCCCCGAAACAAGTGCAGATGAAAACAGGTGCAAAAAACGTGCAATTGAAAAAGTATTGCAAGCTCTGAAGAAAACATGTGCACAACACGTGAAAAAAACACTTGCAGTTGGAAAAGTAGTGCAAGCTCAGGTGAAAACAGGGGCACATGTTAAAAGACAGATTTGCACATATAAAAATGATCTAAGAGGCTAAAACTGTCGTAATTGCTTTGATAAATCCCCCCCATTATATTGATAAATTAGTACCAGCACATATCTATACAAGATCTCTAAGAATCTAAACGCCCAAAGTTTATGAATATGCAGTTATGGCTAAAAATATTGGTACCCCTGCACTTCTGTCAGATAATGCACCACTTCATGCCTAAAATTGTTGCAATTACAAATGTTTAGGCATTCTCATGTTTATTTCTTTTGTTTGTATTGGTATGACATAAAAAAGTTGAGAAAAAAAAGCCAAACCTGACACATTCCACACAAAACTCCAAAAACGGACTGGCAAAATTATTGGCACCTTCTCCAAATTGCAAGAAATAAATGTGTTCCGAGTTTGTGATGCTCCTGTAATTTGTAATTAAACTCGCCTCTATCAATTAGCAGGTGCTGATAATATAGAAATCACACCGGCAACCAGTTAAAATGGTGAAAAATTGACTCAACCTTTCTGTTGTGTGTCTCTGTGTGCCACACGGAGCATAGAGAAGAAAGAGCAGCACATAATTGTCTGTGGATATGAGTACAAAAATTGTGGAAAATCATGGACAATCTCAAGGTTACAAGTAGAGGTGCACCGAAATGAAAATTTCAAAAAACGAAACGAAACCAAAATAAAAAAAAATGTCAGCCTGAAACCGAAAATGTTTTTTTTTATTTTAACTTTTTCAATTTTTTATATATATATTTTTTTTTAAAAAACGTTTAACTTTTTTTATTTATTCATTTTTTATTAAATATTATTATTTTTTACTTTACTTTTAGGGGCTTCGGGGATATATTAGAAGTCTAAACAGAGCCCTGATATTTCCCTTTTAAAATAGAAAAAGAGATTGAGAACACAGGGTCCTCAATCTCTTTTTCTGCATCCCCAGTTATCAATGAACAGGAATCCTCTTTGAGTGTTCCTGTTCATTCATAACATGAGAAGAGAGTATGTTTACTATATCCACAATTATGAATGAAAAGGAAGTGATGTAGATCACTTCCCATTCAT